AATGAAGTAGATAAAATCTTTGGTTGCAATTACTGACTGAAGCCACACTTGCACTGCCTGCAAATTCCATGCCCTTGGTTTCTGCAAACGATAAGGAATACCAGCATCATGAAATGATAATCATATAAAAGGTTCAATGATGATGAAAGTGAAGTCATTATTACTCACCCCATATAGAGAGTAGAGGGAATACAAAGAAGAACATAGAGTGCCCATAAATGAGAGGCGATATGCCCTATTAGAAAGACTTGCAGGTATGAATGGGAACATAGCAAGCACAGCCACTGCAATCACCCAAGCATTGACAGAAAATTGTATTGTTTGTCTATCCCAACGCAATGGAGTTGAATTCATAGTCGACGCCCCTGTTGCTTGTGTAGTTGATCCTACAAAGTTCAATACCCCAAGGGGTTGAAGAGTAATGATGCAATTCAGATCAGATAAATGTGAGAGAAGATAATCTACCTGAGTTCTGAGATGGCCTGCGTTCTCTTGTAGATGATGATGATGGTGGAGGTGATGATCTTGTAGGCTGAGAAGTATTTTGGATTGTCATCGGTTCCACTACAAAATCAGGGTCCTGATAGCGATATAGATTCCAAGTGCAATCAGGAAATGATACATAAATGCTAAATATCAGTTTACATAAAAGACTGAACTGAAGATTCTATATTAACAATTGCAAATAAAACCAAACGTCAAATTTTAAGATCAAAAGATGGTTCAACGTCAAGCTATGCAGTTAATCAAAATGCACAAATCAATCAGATTAAAACGCGATGAAGATTGGAAAAATTAGGAGCGAATTGAGAAACGCGGGAGGAAGTGAAAGATGAGTACGGACGATGTAACGCTGGTAGAATTTGCGTTTGTAGTGGGTGATAACATCGGAGCGAGAAGCCATGTGAGGAGGGATGAGAATATTCGACCAATAATCGGCCCATTTAGGGTCGTTTTCGTAGTCATAGGCCGCCGCCGCTATCTTCTTCATCTTCTGTGGATCTTGTTCTTCCCCCATAATACCTACACTCTTCACTCTTCAATTTGATCGCTGCTTATCTTAATCAAGAAATTCAGCAACCACGACGGAGTTGTGATGATAGTGATACTTGCACGATCGACAAAATAGCAAAACACCCCCCTAGGTTTTCACTTTTCAGCTATTCACTCTCCAAAGTCCAAAGTCCAAATCCAAACCATTACGTTAGGCGTATTGTTGTCCTTTTACAACCAATTATATGATATGTCTATTTTAACCCTTCATGAATTTGTGTTTACTAAAAAATCTTTAAGTTATAGTTTTCAGTTATAATGATGAACAATAAAATAGGTTCAACAGCTCTATCACCCAGCTGTTGCAACCCTTTCCCTTAGAGATTTAAAGGGTCCAAGAGTATCAGTATAAGGGCCCGTTTGATATCTTGCTGACTGGGTCCGGTCAGCACTTTTTGACTGACTCGGTCCGGTCAGCCCAGTATAAGGGCCCGTTTGATATCTTGCTGACCGGGTCCGGTCAGCACTTTTTGACTGACTCGGTCCGGTCAGCCCAATCAGCATGTTTGATACCCACAAAAAAATTCTTCTGACCCGGTAAATAGCAGCTGACTCGGTCCTATTAAAAAATAGAGCTGTCCGAGTCTCTTATGCGTGTTTCTCATTTTTGCCCTTTGCCTTCTCCATCGCCTTCCCCAATCTCAATAACTTCTGTTCGTCGACAACTTCCTCCATTGAACAACCCTTCTGCGATCTTCGTCCTCACTCCTCTCGTGTTTCTAGATCGTCTTCAGCCTCGCCGACCACCTCTTCCATCGTCGTCCTCTCCAGCGCGACCCACCTGCTGTTGCCATCTCTCTTGTTCTCCTTCCCATCGCGATGAATGCAAACGAGATTTCACCCCATTTCTGTTAATCAAGCTGCAGGTATAATTCTCTTTCCTTTTTTTTTCCTAAAAATTTATCAATACTTCTTTATGTATCTACTCTCTCCCTAACTCATTCCTAATCGATTGCAACTGCCCTAACCCCTTATGTTAATGAAAGATTTGGTTGTTGATCAATTTGGCGCCTACTGTTGAATATCATTGCCCCTTTATTGTAAGATATGATTTCAGATTCATGATGAGATATTAGATTCTCTTGATATATTTTCCTTTTGCAATTTGTTTTTTTTCCAGATACATAAACCATGAGTGTGCATTATAGTTCATAGTTCACCTGAGATTTCTCCTAATTGATAATCAAGTCTGCATTCATCAGTGTTCATTTAGCTCATTACTTTTAACCTTATAGTAGGTGAATCAAGTATCTTGATTTAAGTTTTTTTTTTTGTTTGATTTTTGTAGTTGGATAGGTTCATACCAAGAAAATAGATTTATTTTATTATTATTATTATTATTATTATTATTATTATTATTATTATTATTTTGTAGTTGGATAGCTTCTGTTAAGACCTTGAGTATGCAAACATATTCAATGGGTTTTGATTTTGTGGGGGAATTTGCGATTAAAAGTGAACGATGTGGTGAAGGTTAATGAGCAAAAGGACCCGATGGTTTTGCTATCTAGGTTATTGCAAAGAAATTTATAAAAAAAGCTATATTTTTTCTTTTTCATACGTGCACTACATAGCAATTTATTTTAGTTTGTTGGTTAGTTTCTTTTTAAAACCTACACTAAATGGCAATGTACTTTTTTTGTTCTTTTGTCATACCACTAAAAAATATAATAGAGGGGTAAAATGGTCATTTTCAACAGTCAGCACAACTAGTCAGACGCATAATCAAACAATATGGTTTCAGTCAGATGTAGATTCAGTCAGACTTCAGACCCAGTCAGGCTCTGACTCAGTCAGAAACTATCAAACAGTCGGCATTCTCATTTCTAGAAGCAACTCCCACATTCTCATTTCTAGAAGTAACTGCATGACGTCCTGTGATTAAATGACATTTATTTTGACCTATTAACGGTCTGGCTAATTAGAGTTTTATGTCTTATTCATAGTCTATAAACATGGGGTACTAGTTAGGATTTATAGATGATCTTTTGTGTGATCTTCAGAGAGTCTTTGTGAGGTCTTTGGTTTGTTTTGATTATACTGTTATTCTATTTGAACTCGTGAATAAGAATACTCTTTCCTGCAGTGTGGACGTAGGTCTTACTAACCGAACCACGTTAAATATTTTGTCTTTGTGTGTGTGTGATTTCGCATGCTTTCTCGTTTACTTCCTACATTGACCATACCCAATGGTTTTATAGTTGCCAACCTTTCTCTCTTTAAAAAAAAAATCATATAATTATAATTTTAAGTTCTCATCGTATATGTAAAATAGTTTTAAACACCGATTATCCGGTCATTGCAATTGTTTCCCTTCCTACATATTCAACCCTTTCCATCTTTCTCCTAAAATCGTCTTCCTTGTTGGTGATTTTAATGTCATCAATTCATTTAGTATGACAATGAGTAAATCGAAATAAATTAAGCTTAATTTTAGCTATATTGTGGACTTGGAAGGTGCCGAATGTACGTTTGCATAAGTTGATTTGATCTCGAGAACACGGGGTCTAAAAGAACTCCCCTGGTGGGGTTTGAAGAGGGTGAGGCTGCCCCCCTCGACCCAAAATGGTATCCATAGGTAACATATATATATTTATTTGTTAGTTTCTCGCCAAAATCAACCGACACGTTTGTTCCCAATAAACACAAGGCAAACTTCAACATAAACAATAAACAGGTAAACACTTTCCAAAGCCTATAAGTGTATTGTTTTTGTTTTGCATGCTTTTTTTCCGTTTATGTTTGTCTTCAACTTTGTTGTCTCGAATAAAATAGAACAATAACATGTATTCTGTTTTTTGAATCTTGGATTTTGCCTTAAATCGAGATGACGAGATTGCAGTTTCCGATTCCGATTTCATGTAACCCCGACCTATAAGGTTGAAATTACATGTTTTGGAAAGTGTTTTTTATACAATCCCAAAAATATCCAAAGTTCATCAGTCACGTCCCTTTCCCTTTTCCCTTTCCCATTGAAAGACTAAGGTGCTATTTGATTTTCTGAATCAAAAATTCATGAAGTCTGCGGACCACCTCTGCAACCCTCTGCAGTAGAAGAGGTGGACCAAACGACTGCAAACTGTAATAAGAAGCGTGTTTGTTTTTTTAACATCTGCATACTGCTGCAGATATTAAAAAATTAAAATAAACTAATTTTATAAACCGAAAAAAGTTTTTTAATACGTAAAACATAATAATGTATAACATTTCGGCAATAATTAATGATATTTCAGTAAAAAATAATGATATTTCAACAAAAAAAATAAAGATATTTTAGTAAAAAATAATGATATTTCATCAAGAAATTATCATTATTGAATATAAAAAAACGAAAAAAAAATTCAACAATAATAAACAAAAAAAACGAAATAAAAGGTGAAATAAAATTTCAACAACATATAATCAAAATTTCAGCAAGAAAAAAAAAATGTTGGAAGAGGTTGGAAGAGGCAGTACAAGTGCTGCGCAAAACAGAGCACGCGCAAATGTTTTTGACTCCGAAGACTTCTAAAAAACAAACAACTGCGAGATGAAAAGTGTTGCGCGTGTGCTGCGTCGCGCAGCAATAAGAGGTCTGAAGAGGTTTTTTTCCAAAAAACAAACAGCACCTAAGAGAGCAACATCTTGAAAACAAATTTAAAGATACAGAAGATGGTATTAATGTGGTGTGTGCATAATATGTTGATAGAGGAGAGTTATTATTAAAATTTGGGAAACCAAATTTTACAATTGTCATTGACTTGTAATATTAAGTATTTATTCGTAAATTTACCTAACTACCTTTACATGATGGTTATCATGAATAGTAATTATTTATTTACAATGGTTGATTGTATGCAGTCGAATTTGATGTAGGGCAACGGTGTTAACAGAAACACCAAAACAAAGGATCACAAATACAAATCGCAAGATAAGAAGAACAAGAAAAGATTCTTACATTGTTAGATCACATGGACAACAAAATTTACTTACATGGAAAAATTGGCACAAGATTTCCCATACATAATGAAGAAGATGGCAACCACCATGTCAATTTTCTATACACCCAACCGACCAACAGTGTAGTGTAAAAGAATCACACAAACAAACAGCTCTGTGATCACATACAATACTATATTAATAATATCTTTAGTTGGTGGATAGAATTAGAAAAGAATGTGTGTGTTAATTATCAAAACATGTGCCGTGATCCTTCACTCTTCCAACTGGTCTGAGAATTATTATTAAAATATTCAGAACTGTAGTCTTGACTACCAAACGCCATTCTTTGGAATAATCTAATTTGTGCAGACTGTTCTAGCGAATCAAAGATTTCACTCTGCCCTGGTTTCATCCCGTTTGACAGATCCGTTGTGAACTCAACAATTGAGTCCAAAGCTCTCACCACCTGCACCAGAACCATGGTTTCCAAATTTTCATTTTTAGGGAGGGATTTCACTAATATATTCATGAAATAATACCAGAATCAAGCATGGATGCGATGATTACCTGACTCATTCGTGGCCTTTTTGGTGCTAAATGGCGTATACAGGCTGCAGCTGCTTCAATCATCCGAAACATTTCAACCTGCACGTAGTTTTTTTCCAGCCTCGGATCTACCAGTTCTTCAAAATCCTCATGTTCAAGTGCCTGATTCAGCAATGGTCGAGCCTGAAACCACACATGATGAAGAAGAAAGATTAATTCAAGGAAATTTTTCTAGGTCAAAGAATGCCGAGTGAGTCATAAACCTACCCATTCAACCAGGCTCTCATCCCCCAGGGGCTGAGACCCGTCCACAGGTTTACGCCCAGTGATTAGTTCTAACAGCACTACCCCGAATGAGAAAACATCCGACTTTTCAGTCAACTTCCCGCTTGAAGCATATTCAGGAGCCATATATCTGAAATTTAAAAAAAAAAAATAAATTTAACAAAACAAAACAGGACATTATAACGTCCAAAAGAATGGATATAGTCATAGACTTACCCAAAGGTTCCCATGACACGAGTAGTGACATGCGTATTAGTATCCATGGCTAACTTCGCAAGCCCAAAATCTGCCACCTGAGTAAGTACCAATCACACAAATATAAATATACATTTCAAAAATATACTTAAATCACTCTAGATTTACAAACAAACCATTGTTCTTGATTGCAGAAAAAAGAAAACTACAATACATCTTGCAAACAATGGTTGGAAGGGTGAATAAGATACCTGGGCATCAAAGTTGTCATCCAATAGAATGTTGGATGACTTGATATCCCTGTGTATGATCCTCGGATGACCTGATAGATATACAACAAAAACATAACATCTTATACGATATACAAAATAAATAAATAAATATTGAGAACGTGAACTTACAATCTTCATGCAAGTAAGCCAAACCACGGGCTGCACCAGCAGCAACTCGAATTCGGGTGGACCACTCCATAACCGGCCTGTCTGGGCCTACAAAGCAAAGGGAGGAGATTTATAATTAAATAAACAAAATAGCAAAAAAAAAAAAAAAAAAAAAATTGGAATGGATTACAGAATTCAAAAGTTACCATGAAGATGGAAATGAAGGGTGTCGTTGGAGACAAACTGATAAACAAGTAGTCTTTGATGCTCAGAAATACAATAACCAACAAGTGACACTAAATGACGATGATGAACACGACTAATGATTTCAACTTCTGCTCTGAATTCACGTTCTCCTTGTCCACCACCAATTTTCAGCTGTTTAACAGCAACTTCTCTCCCATCTGTTAACAACCCCTTGTAAACACACCCAAATCCACCTTCACCTAAAATATTGCTTCCTGAAAACCCATCTGTAGCCTCTGATAATTCTTCATAGGTAAACCATGCCCTCGAGTTTCCTACACCACCACCCTCCGGTGAGTACATGGATATGGAATTACTCCCCACCCCTGATGGGCTTCCACCCAATCGGTTATGAGCAGATTGTTGGGAACTCAGAAACTGGGCGTCTGTAAGTAAAAAAAAAAAATATTAATGAAACCAACTAACGCAATAAAGGCATACCAGATGTAATAAATCATAAATGGTTGTGTAGTATAATAAATAATCACCTGATTTTTGGGAGGAGGCAGAGGGTGAAGGCATAATGTAGTTACCAGTAGGGCGTCCACCACGTTTCTTTTGTCTTTTTTTGAACCACACAGCCATTATAAAGAGACTGAGTGTGACAAATGTCACAACAACACCAATTGCCACTGCGCCACCTGTTCTTGGTCCTCCACGGGAACCACCACCGGATGTACCATTTTGGTTAGCGTTTGTGGTGTTGTTTGTTGCTCTTGCGGTTGGTTTCTCTGTGGGTGGTGCTAATTGGGATATAGGAGGGGTTCCGAATGCGGGAGTGGAGGAGTTGGTTGGGATTGGGGTTGATGAAGGAGGAGGTGATGATGTTGAAGATGGAGGGGTGATGGAGGTGTTTGAGGGTGGAGCAGGTGGACGTGGTGCGGGGATTTCAGGTGGGTTTGCATGTGGTGGGGGAGGAGAGGCGGAGAGGGGTGGTGGCGATGGAACGTTTTCTGGAGGTGGTGGAGAAGGAGAAACTGGTGCGGGTGGAGATGGAGAGGGGGGAGAGGCTGTGTCGTCAGGTTGGTTTGGAGGAGGAGGGGAACTTGTTGGTTCTGGTGGAGGAGATAAATCTGGAGGAGGTGGTGAGTTTGCAGGTGGAGTGGCGGTGACAGGAGGTGGTAGTGGTGGAGGAGTAGTTGCGGGGGATTCTGGTGGTGGTGCTGCAGGTGGAGATGGAGGAGGAGAAGCAGGTAGTTCCGGTGGTGGTGGCGGTGATGCATCTGGTGGAGGTGATGCATCTGGTGTAGATGGAGGCGGTGGACTGGCCACTGGTAATGGAGGCAATTGAAGAGGTGGAGCTGAAGGGATGGCAGGAGGCGGTGGTGCTCCGGTGGCCTGATCAGGCTGAGAAACAGGGGAAACAGGCACAGGGTTTGAAGCAACAGGAGGAACCGATGAGGGAGAAGAACCTGGAGAAGGCGATGTCGAAGCCATTGAAATAAGATCAACTTCTCTTACCAACAAAATGCTTAATTTAAATCCAAAATTCCCATCGATAATCTTACAATGTAGCAGGAAACACCAATCGTTAAATCTCAAGAACCCTAGAAATCTTTGATTTATAGAGTCTAATTATAAATCCAGTAGAGGATTCTCTGATGTAACGAAACCCCAAATCACCCAGTACAGAAATCTCACCCAAATCTCAAAATTCAAGATCTAGGCAAGAACACCAAGAAAAATTCCAAACTGAAGATTCAGTAATCAGTAACAAAAAAGTCAAAAAATTTCACCGAACATCTACTACGCAATTCTATAATGTAATCGGATCCCAATCTCAAAACTCAAGATTTTGGCAACAACACCATGAAATAACTCAAATCAACCCAAAACCCAGAGTTCCAACGAGTATTCAAACGGCCAAAATCCAGATTCAAATGCAAATGCAGCACAAAATCAAGTACGATATAGAGTAGACAACGAAAAACCCTAAAAAATTCTGCTTTAAAGCGATAACAAAAATCTTTTATCTCTTGCTATAATTTACCTAACCTTCTCCTTCAACCCACAGTCAAAAGACTGGGACCTTGATCATTCAAGTGGGGTTTTTGAATTTTCGTTAAGATCTTTGCTTTAGAGAAGAAGGTATAGCTGGTGTTGGTGTTGGTGTAGGCCTAGATTTGTGCAAAGTTAACGTGGGAGCGACTTTGAAGAAGTATTGAAACTGTTGATAGTGAAATTGAAGGTGATCGACATCGTAGAAGGGAAGTCAAAGCAAACATCATGAAGGGCATGTATTTGTGGTCTGTCATGTCATGTGATTGCAACCACGATTTCATATACGACCGAATGAAGACACGAACAGGGATAACATTTCATCATTCTATACATTACTTTATTCAATCTTCCATTTTTGTGCTTTTTTATTTATTTTTATTTATCGATTTATCGATTTTTGTTTGTATTAAACACAACGCACAAACCACAAATTGAAAAAACTTCGTTAGACATTGTATTAATTATCACGAAAAAAAAAGATTAACTTCCAATTTAAATCTTTAAAAGTTAAAACCATACTTTTCAGATAATTCCAAAATAAAAACGATACATTTTAGGCTAAAAAAATAGTTTTTTTGAATAACTATTATAAATATCTTGTTAATAGCCGAAACTAAGGGTGAGCATGGTGCGGTTTTTGCCCAAAACCGAACCGAAAACCGCAACTTCGGTTTTTTGAAGTTTAGAAACCGCACCGTTCGGTTTTTATGCGGTTCGGTTTTTGCGGTTCGGTTTTTTTTGCGGTTTTTTGTCACTTTTCATTTTTATTTTTATTTTTTTGTTTTTGTTTTGCCTTTTGGTTTTTTGCGGTTCAGTTTTTATGATACCACCACCTATTGGTTTGAAATCAAATGACATAACCATTCATCCAACATGTTTCTAATGTTTGAATATAATACGAATTAAATATAATATTTGTTTCACATTTACATGAGATAATATCAATTAATGTATTTATAAAAATTATACTATCATCGATAATACTCTTCATATTTAAATGTTAAAAAATATCGTAAACATTATTTGTTCTTATAAATATCACTAAATGTATGCTTAAAAATATACAATCATCCTCTCATAAGATAAATATTTATATTTATAGAAATTTTAATTGTCACGAGTTCTTCGTTCTTACAAATATCAACACTATATATATATATATATATATATATATATATATATATAATATTTTGCGGTGCGGTTCGGTTTTTTACGGTTTTTGCAAGACTAGAAACCGCACCGCACCAAACATTTTCGGTTTTTGCAAAACTAAAAACCGCACCGTTGGTTTTTATTTCTGTTTCGGTTTTTCGGTTTCGGTTTATGCGGTTTTTTCGGTTTGCGGTTCGGTTTTTGCTCACCCCCAGCCGAAACACCGTCAAAACAATACATTCATTTAAATGTAAATTCTATCTAATTAAAATCACATTTTTATTTATCAATACTTAATTGAAAACATTGATTTATAGAGTTATTTTATTAATATTAACTATTTTATCAACAAATTAATATCTAATTATTTTAAGACGACATGCATTAATAATAATGAATTACCTGGGCTTAATCCGAGGCACTTCTCCGACTGGTTTGTTAAAGTTAAACTAATCGTAATAAAATATTTAAAAATAAACAATTTGACAATATATTAATTAAATTATAATATAAACGTAATTGAAGTGTAATGTTGAGGCTATATTGAATAATTCATCATGTTAGTTGAGATCTCCAGCTATAAAATGCCTCTTCACACTCTTTCTTTACTCCTCGTTTATGCAACATGTCTTTTTTGCCATTTCAATTACTTAGCTGGAACATTTTATTCTTGGTTTGCTTATTTTATAAAATTTATAATATATATTAATTTATACGAGATCTGAAGAGTTGTTTGGATGTATATTTTTATAACATCTTACATCTCGGTTCATATAAGTCATTTATCAAATCCAAATAAAAGTTTTTCATTAAGTTGAACTTTATGAAGAATTTTGTATAAATATTATATGTGTAAGAACATTTAATTATAATTGTCAATTTATGTGAATACTTTCTTTAAATAAAAGTGTAAGTTATGAAAAATTGTTTAATTTCTAATAGGCTAAAGTTCAGGGGGCTTTTCATAAAAGGGTATATAGGGGTTCAGTTTTAGAACTTTGGTCATGTTATATGTGTAAGAAGTAATAACATTTAAAAATATATGTTAATTTATACGAGATTTGAAGGTGTTGTTTGGATGTATCTTTTTATAAGATCTCGGTTCATATAAGTCATTTATCAAATCCAAATAAAAGTTTTTCATTAATTTGAACTTTATGAAGAATTTTGTATAAATGTTATATGTGTAAGAACATTTAATTATAATTTTCAACTTATGTGAACACTGTCTTGACATAAAAGTATAAGTTGTAAACATTTGTTTAATTTATAATGTAAGGGAGTATATTGTATCAAGGCTAAAGTTCAGGGTGCTTTTCACAAAGGGTATATAGGGGTTAAGTTTTAGAACTTTGGTCATGTTTTGATTGATTTCAGTTCGTGCGACTGCGAGTGTGTGTTCATGAGCCGTGAAAGGAGAAGGAGTAAACAAATATTTGCATGATAAATTGGATAAAACTTGGATATGATGATGGATCAATTGCATAATAAAAGTAAATATCCAATAGATAAAAATAGAAATTAATGTTTAATTGGATCGGTTGACGAAGATTAAAATTGAATAATTATAATTTCCTAATATTAATCTTATTTCTAAAATTAGTAAAACATTTTTTCTTATTCTTAATATTTAAATTAATATGTATTTTAGTTTTGTGCAGATAAAGTTCTGTGGGCTAGAGATTGAAGAAGATTTGGGCTGCTGTGAAATGGATCTGGGCTTATCTTGTTGCTGGGCTGGAAGGATCTAAACTTAGCATGTTGCTGGGCTGGAGCAGAAGGGCTTAAGCTGGAGTAGACCAACACAAAAGAACCGGTCTCGGACCGGACCCAAAAAAAACCCGAGACCGAACTAGTCTAAAACAAGACCGACTGAAAAAAGACCAGTCCTAAAAAAGACCGGAGCGAAAAAAGATCGACATGAGACCGTCCAAAACAGGTTGGAGAAAAACTGAACCGTTCTGAGACAGGTCCCAAAAAAGACTATATCGTTCCGAGACCGACACAAGATCGGTCTGAGACCGATCCGAGACCGGTCTGAGACCGATCTAAAAAAAGATCGGAAGTTAAAGTTTATAAATATATCATTTTTATGTTTATAACACAGTTTTTAATCACTCTATCTAACTTCTTTTCTTTTTTCTTTTATTAAAATTTAGTGTATTATTTTAATAAAGTTTAATCTATCATTTTGGTGTTAATCACATATTTGTTAAAGGAAAAACTAGAAGTCGAAACTAAAAAAACCAACAAATACCGAAACTGACCGAAAACCAAACCGAAAAAAGTGTACGGAAAGACCGCGAGACCGGACCGAAAAAGACCGAGGCCGGTCCAAAAAAAGATCAGACCGAAAGAGACCGGTCTTAAAAAAGACCGACTCAAAACCGGATGGGACCTGTCCGAAAAAAGACCAGACCGCTCCGAGACCAACTACAAAAAGATCGGACCGTTTCAAGGTTGACCCGAGACTGGTCCGGGATTGCAAATGTGCAGGTCTAAGCCGGAGCTTCACGGGTTTAATCCAGGTTTGGTGGACCTGTTCGTATACAATAAACGAACATGTTCATTTGTCATTTGATTCCATAGATTCACACACACATTCTTCTCTCTTTGTCTCGTTTTCTTTACTTCTGTTTCGTCTTTAGGATTTTGGGTTTACATATTGTAATGCCAATTAGGGCTTCACAAATCTATATTCTTTATTATAGTGCAACTGGTTTTTTTTGTTAAGAGTTGATGTGTAACTATTCGGATTTAGCTAGGTGAATCATTTGTTTTGTAATCTCTTAAACATCTGAAAGAGAAAACAAAGTGTGTAATGTTTTTTAGTATTAATTAGATCGGATCGGTTGAAAATATCAAATGTTCAATGGATGTTTGGATTAAATTGGCGAGATAATGACTTAAAATGGTAACATATTTTTTGATTTACACTCATTTAGTCACTGAGTTTTTTTTTTGTCCATATTTTCTTATTGAACTTGTTGAACTGTTCAAAATATATCATTATTACTTACTATCGGAGGTTTAGCCACTTTCCAACATATTTGACAGCTCCGACGAGACTCCGATCGTCTTCTCCGGCAAGTCTTCGGCCATAAATCTAAAATAATTTAATTTTTTATTTAGATCAACAACACACACAATACTCCGTCTCCAACACATAAATCTACAACAAAGATGAACTCAAGAACATAAATCCAAAAAATCCGATGAAGAACACGAAGGCAAACCCAGAAATCAAAATTGTGTTCTTGAACATAAATGGAAAATCGAACACCCTAAAAAATCGAACATCCTACAAAAACTTCATATCGTGCTTCAGCTTGAAGATCAAACATCATACACTCAAAAATCATTTTTAAAGGGAGAAATAATGATGTATGTGTAACGTCCGCGTTTCTCGCTAGACATTAATTAGATTATTAGGATCATCAATTGTAACTTATTTGATATAATAAAGGGAAACTATTTGAGTAATATGTGATTTATGTGCAATTATTTGTAGTATACGTGCTTACGACAATATAATAAAATAAGAATAAAATATGCATCCGAAATAGAATAATAATTAGGTTGAATACCCTTGACGAAAGTTGAAGTAATTGTGACAAGGATTCTGGGGATATAACGAACACTTAAATTAGACTTATAACGAATAAGTTATGGTATGTCGAAGTTTCGTGATTCGACTCGATTCGGCAAAGCGCATCGTAAATAATAAATTTTTGTTAGATTACTTTTTTAGCCTTAGTGGTCTAAACAAAAGTCATAGTAGTCATTAAACCGAGAGCGTACATATAGAGAACGTTCAAATCTGACTTCAATAAAGGAAATTATAATTTTTCTAAGATTCAACGTAGCAGTAGACATGTTAAATATCGAATTTTAGATCATTTGATTGTTAGATGAAACAATCTAAACGAGAGTCGAAGATCTCGTTAATAGGAGTCAAACGATAAGAAGACACTCGAAAACGGACGTTGGATGACAAAGTTATGCATTTTATACGGGCTTTAACATCTAAGCCTGTGTAAAATAAATAAAGTCAAAATTAGTCGACAGAGTCTAAATGAAAGTTGTATATCTCGTCAATAGCTAGTGTGGATATAAAGAATGTCAAAAATGGATCTCGTATGAAGAAGTTACGCAATTTTAAAGTTT